GTGCGACGGCGTCGTACAACGTTGCGGAGGTAGGGAGGTCGTTGTCAAAAAATACAGCCAAGGGTCAATCACGGGATTCTATAGCGGGGCCCACACTGATCGGATGGGTCCATGTGTCGCCGGCAAGGGCCAACCGGGCGGGCTTTGGTTACTGCTGGTACAGTGGGATTTTTTAGCCATGGGGCATGAAAGTTGTGGAAGACACGTGAATCTTTAAAAAGACTCATAAAAAGGCTTTTTGCCCCTTTTTTTTCTTATATAATCTTGAAAGTTTGTGCCTTTTACTTCACTTTCACTCTAAAGATTTTCAAAAGAAACCTGTACAGATTTCTAAAAGTTTATACTACTATTTAGGAGTGCTTGTTTCACATATTGAAATCAGAAATGAAAATAGAATTATAGATTCTAATTTTGAAATTAAACTTTTCATTCCAATATCTAATTTGATTCATACATTGGAATTAGCATTATTCCAATTCCTGATGCTTGGTTTGACGAGTGTTTCGGAATTAAATGCAATTAAATTTCAAATTTACCCCTGATATAACAATTCTTATAAAATAAAAGAATTACACATATGACAAATTAACATCTCCATAATTGTAACTACAATAGTTATTAACTATTTTGATAAAACATAAGAAAATCATAAACCATAAAAAAAAATTAATATCAGAAAGTAAATATAGTGGTTGTATTAACAAGAAGTAAATTCCCAAAAAGAGGGAGTTTTTAAACTAACTTCCCAAAGGGTGGCGATTTTTGAGTCTCTTCCCAAAGGGTGAAAAACGCATCCAAGAAATGCGTTCTTCCAAATAAAAACGCAACTTTCAAATACGTTATTTTTAATTTTCATAAATTTGTTTAAAAATGAAAATTTGGTTAAATAGCGCATAACATACCAGCTCTTTATGGGAAACTGGCAGGTTTTGTAGTATGTTTTGTACCAACTCTTTATGGGAAACATACCAACTCTTTATGGAAAAAATTGGTTAAATAGCACTCAAAGGAAAATTAGTATGTTTTGTATTTAACATAAATTAAATATGTGAAAGTTAAAAAAAAAACAAAGAAATTGCCCATAACATACCAACTCTTTATGAGAAATTGGCAGGTTTTGTATTTAATGCGCTTCGTTGGCCTGTGGTGTCCTCCCTCTTCTAAAACATGAACGGCTCATCAGTCAAAATCTCAGAGACCTCAACAATGCATATATGATTTAACTCCAGGCAACCTGTAAATTCAAACTATCTGCAGTTTATAAATGAAAGGGATTGCGTTCACTTTTCTAAAGGTACTTTGTAGTCAGGAAAATTTGGTAAAATGTAAAACCAGAAGTTTTGGTTTGACCCAGATCGTCTATTTCTTTGTTGGCTGAGGATTTTCCACAATCGGCCAAAAGATGTAGGCCAAATTCGAGAAGAACAAGAGTTGTTATGATCGAGTGCCTTTTAATCATTGAAGATATTTGCCATTCCTATCCCATTTAGATCTACTTTAGATTTTTTTTTCAAGAAATTTTGGATAAGAGATGAAAACTATATGATGAAAAATAAGAGATAGGAAATCTGATGAAGAAGAATAACAGAAGGTGCGGCGTGTGATGAAGGAAAGAGATGGTAGGTCCGTCACAAATGTTGTCTGAGGGAATAAGTTGAGGGTTTTGTCCAAAACCTCCCAATTTGCTTGGGAATGGGATACGTTCGATTTTTTAGAAATGATTCCAAAAGTTGCATTCCAATAGGCTTAACTCAAGCAACAAATAAGGAGTTTATTCCATTCTGTGATTCCCAAATCTTTTAACCAAGCAGTCCCTTAGTCTTTGATAGTTGAAACAAACAAAAAATCGTACAAACAAAAAGAAGAAATGGAAAGAAGATGAAGGGCCTATTTTCATTTCATACATATATGATACTGTATAAGGGTTTGGTTTTCAAATTTGTTTCATTTGCTTCTTATGGTTCAATGCAAATTCACACTAAACGCAGATATAGAATTAGGTGGCCCTTGTGAAATATGATAACACTAGAAAAAACAACAGTCGACAATGTGACACATGGAGCATCAAAGAGGAAAACAATAGTAGAAGGCAGGGGACAAAATAGTAGGGATAACTGATCTCACTTTCAAATGGACAAATAGTTTATCCCCTTATGATTAGATGTCACTTGAAATTTTTTACTTCATAGAGAAACAATTTCCCAATTTTTTGTGTTCTTTACAGATGAGCTATTAATTTGGTAGGTTGACCAACAGTTCTTGCTGATCAATAGAATTACCACTTCTTCGTTAACTAATCAATACGATTATCGGTATAATAGTAAATGTTGAAATCTCAAAAGTTAGAGGTTTTGAATTCTAATCTTTTTATCTCCTCGCCACTTGTTAAATCTCATCTCTTCGTGTTAGAAGGAAAGAAAACCAATAGCATCGGTAAAAGTGTCAAATGACTCTGAAGTTCACCAATTCACTATGGCAATATTTAGTTCTCCCATATATGAACAAGTGCAACTTTCCAGACGTAAAAATCTCTAAGATATCGTTCAACTTCATTGATCAACCTTTGTTTTGCATGTTTTACTTGTGTAATCTAAATTCTACTGACCTCGTTGCTGATCGTTGAAGAAACTTTTTCCAATCTGAAAAAGTTGCCATAGATCTCGAGGACAATAAGAGGAATGTCTTTGACATGTACGTTTGTGGGTATTATAATGTAGTGCATATATAAAGTATGTGTATATGAATTAGGGATAAATCAATTCTTTGGCGGTTTGCCCTTCATCACGAAGGAAGGAACCAAGAATATTAACATGGGAAGAGTAGGATTTGGTTCTCTTTGTTGGATCTTTAATCTAACGTTAGACTTATATTTGAATAATTATATATGTTGCAGACTGTCAGATAAAATTAAGTCTAATTAAAATGATCAATTATGATTTGAACTTTAATGTATCTAATAGATTTGCTCTTCGTCACGAAGGAAGGAACCAAGAATACTAACATGGGAAGAGTAGGGTTTGGTTCTCTTCCCCTTCTCTTGCTCCACCTTGATAAAGGATCTTAATTCTTTATAAGCTAAAAACATGACTTAGGAATTTAGACGGCTATTAAGTCAATGGGTCTCATACCTCCAACTAGTTGTTGTTTAATGGATCATTAAACCCTCCATTATATTGTTCTAAAAAAAATAATAATAATAAAAAAGGAACTCCATGCATGAGTTATAAGCATTACTTTTGGAAGTTTGTTTGGCTCGTGGTTACCTCTTCATGATGAGCATGACAATTCTACAGGAGCTTTTAAAGTCTTTTAAGTTGATACGAGGAAAGGAAAAAATTCAAAAAAGAAAGAAAGGAATAGCTGTACATACAAAATAAAAGGGAAATTACTTTCGTATATCTTGTTATGTTCAGAGAATGACTCACTTCAATATAAAATGTATAGAGATAATTCAATATAATATGTGCACAAACAGATATATGTATTCTACGTTAGATTGATGGTTAAAATAACCATGTCAATAGTTTATCCATCACATGCACTTTGCCTTTGCAAAATTATTAATGCCTTTCTTCCACCATAATTTTCCAACTAAATTCGAATATGTTTTTATTAATTGAATTAAATGTTCCTCGATTATTCTTCCAATAATCTGATTAATAAAAAAAACCCATTAATAACCCACCACATTTAAGTGGATAAGCAATTACAAATTCAACCATTTATTATGTAGTAATTAGGTAAAAGCATTTAACGTAAAGTGTGACTAACTGTTGTGTTAATCCATGCAAACGGGACTAATGAGGTTATTTAGGTTCTTCGGCAACATATACAATCTATGATTTTTATTTTAGAATAGTAAATATTAGACAATCTACATGGAATATTTTTAAAATTTTATATCTATCGTGACAAATTCCATCATTATTATTGGAGTTTAAAATAGTTGATTAGTAGATTTGATAAGTGTAACATGTATAGAATGAAGTTGTAGTGGTTTATTTTATCAGAAGACATTAATTTTTTTTTGTATACCGATTTATCTTATTAGAAGACATTTTATTTTATTTTTTGTATTTTTCAAATCTATTCAGTATTATCTCATTAGCAGACATTTTGAAACTTTTTGTATTTTTCACATCTATTTAGTGTTTTTCAGATCTTTTTGTTTTTTTCTAGAGTATGTTTAACATGTCACTAATGTAGATTTTTGTGATGTAAATCAAAACATGTTGGATGATGAGCAATCTCGTTAAACGAATTTGTTTGAATTCGCTTATTTTTCACAAACTAGTTTTTTTAAATACAATACTACAATAATACATAAAAAAAATGACTTCAATCCATACAATAACTCAAAACCAACTCACAAATATATATATATATATATATATAAAATCTTACCCCATTTTCCCTTTCCACCTAATACCTTCAAAATACTACCAAAAATATCTACAATAAAATTTTTTTACATATATTATTACATTAAAATTTTTTAAAAATACCCCAAAAAACAGTCCATACGGATCATGTCCTAAAAAAGAAGTTAAAGTAGCTCAAGATGCAAATTGCAAATGGGAAAAAGTTTGGGAGGTTAAAATAGTACTATAATCAAATCCTTCACATTGGGAACGAGGGAAGCAACTGTCTAGCTGCCAGCATTGCGCATTCACACTGACGCCGTCTAACAAAAACTAGTTCCCACCAAACGCGACTTTTGACCGGGCATTTGCCACTCCCAAAAACGCGAAACTAATATGGAAACTACTCAACGCCTTCTCCACAGAACCCTCTGGAATTACAATCTCCACCGGCCATCACCCCATCCAACGGCCACTAGTCTTTCATCAAAAGACGGAGAGTATTCTAGACCCTTCTCAATTTTTCCCGAACACAAAGCATATTTCTTAATCCAACGGCCCAAATCCATCTCCAATTGGTATTTGGGATTAAAATCTCAGCCGTTCAAGCGTCTTTCCAAAAGTATATTTAAATAGCTCCTCAGATGTTCTAGGAATTGTCTCTGAGAATCTTGTCGCTGTTTCTAGCCTTCGTTGCCCTTTTCTCTTCAGCTCTCTGAAAAAGTCGAAAATCGTCGTAAATCACAAGCGAAGATGTTTGGGAGGGCGCCTAAGAAAAGTGATAATACGCGGTACTATGAGATATTAGGGGTGTCGAAGAATGCTTCTCCTGAAGATCTTAAGAAAGCTTACAAGAAAGCCGCCATCAAGAACCATCCTGATAAGGGCGGCGACCCTGAGAAGGTACCCTTTTCTTTTTGGAACAATCTGGGATCTTGATCTTGAGAAAAGGGTTTGATTTGTTATGAGTATTTTTTGGTTAAATTTAGTTTGAGAATTTTTTTTAAAAATTATTTTGCTTGAATTTGCGTTCTCTTGTTATTAGAATTTTGAGGATAAAAAGGGTCTTGTGATCTGATTTGATGTGGGAATTTCGAAAGGATTATAGCTGTTAAGACAAGTCCTATGATAGTGTAATGAGAAGCAATGAAGCTTTTGATTTGTGTTGTGATTGATCGGGAACACGCCCTCTGTAATGTACTTTCCTGTTTATTACTTTAATCATTTTGTTCAATTCATGCCAAATAAGTTTGAGCTCACGTTCCACAATTTGTTATTTTCTTGGATTTTTGAGGTATACATCGAGCTCGGGTTGTCAGTTTGGATAGTTTTATTTTCCGATGTTATAGAAACGGGTTTACACAATATAGGTCTAATTGGTTCTGTTTGATTGAAAGAATATTTCGTGAGAACATAAGATATTTAAGGAAGAAAAAAGAGGATATTTGCTGGTAGGCTATATTTTTGCTGATTGTCACTCTAGTTGTTTAGGTGATTTAGGGTTGAAATTATGCACATTGATTTTATATCGGATTAGCCAATGTTGTGAATGGGCAGTCTCTTGTAGGGCGTCTTGAAGTTGTTCCCAATGGTGTTCATGGCTTGATTGTCGAACTTTTCCACAGGGTGGAAGTTAGTATTTGACAATAACTATCCGGCCTGTTTTTGCACCAAAAAGACGGGAAAGGAGGTTTAAAACTCGTGAATAGTTGCATTTTTCGTCCTATTCTTTGGGAAGCTGGAAGAAAAAAAAGGGGGCGGGTTGTTCTAGAACTTGGGAGGGGGATGTGTAGGATTGCAAGCTTTCATTGGGAGTGTGGTCAATGTAGGTGAATAAGATAATCAATTGGATTAAGGGGACTTAATAATGTATTCGTGCTGGCCTGTTGGATCTTATCTTTGTATATTTGAAGGGTAATATTATGAGATGATTGTGAATTTGCTGTCTCCAATTACTTGCTTTGCTATAGAGTCATGGCATTAGCGTAAGATTTAATGTCCTTTGAGAATTATCTAACTGTGAGCTGTTGCGGAAGACTAATGAACATAAATTGGCATTTTCCTTTCAGTTTAAGGAGCTAGCTCATGCTTATGAGGTCTTGAGTGACCCAGAAAAGAGGGAGGTTTATGATCAGTATGGTGAAGATGCCCTCAAGGAGGGAATGGGTGGTGGTGGTGGCATGCATGATCCATTTGACATCTTCCAAACTTTCTTTAATTCAGATCCATTTAGTAGAGGTGAGACGTTCATATTGCCAAAAGAAAAATGTTTGCTTATCCTAGACCATTTGTTAGTTTGGTGGATTTAAAATCCATTTGGAATAATGCGTGGAGATTGGATCTTTAGTTTTGGTCGGTCAGATTTTAACAGTGGGGGTACTGTACTTGTTTGTGAACAGGTAGCAGTAGGGGACGAAGACAGAGGAGGGGTGAGGATGTAGTTCATCCATTGAAGGTGTCGTTGGAAGATCTGTACAGTGGTACAACCAAGAAGCTCTCTCTGTCCCGGAATGTTATTTGTTCAAAGTGTAGTGGGTAAGTATTTACCGCTGCATTTAAATCGAGTTTTCATTAGAAATTTTGATTGGCTTTTTTTTTTGATTTTGATTTGTCAATTCTTGCTGATATGTGGTTGTCTGTGCAGAAAAGGATCAAAATCTGGAGCTTCAACAAAGTGTTCCGGTTGTCAAGGTACTGGTATGAAGGTGACAATTAGACAGCTTGGTCCTGGAATGATCCAGCAAATGCAGCATCCTTGCAATGAATGCAAAGGAACTGGAGAGAGTATCAATGACAAGGACCGCTGTCCACAATGTAAAGGTGAAAAAGTTGTCCCAGAGAAGAAAGTCTTGGAAGTTCATGTGGAGAAGGGCATGCAAAATGGCCAGAAGATTACTTTCCCTGGAGAGGCAGATGAAGCGGTAAGAAGTGGTGCATTGTGACAACTTTCTGAAACAGTTGAAGTTTTGAGAACTTTATTATATTATTCTGACTTAATATTGCTTCTGTCCAGCCCGACACTGCCACTGGGGATATAGTGTTTGTTGTCCAGCAGAAAGAGCATCCAAAGTTCAAGAGAAAACATGACGATCTTTTTGTCGAGCATACTTTGTCTCTCTCTGAGGCACTCTGCGGCTTCCAGTTCATCTTGACGCACCTGGATGGAAGGCAACTTCTTATAAAATCAAAGCCAGGAGAAGTTATTAAGCCTGGTCAGTATATTCTTTCACGCTATTTAATCAATTGCACCTATTTTCTGATTAGAGTTTACCATGTATTTGACATGCGAATTATACATTGTGCACAAACTTGCAGATCAATTCAAGGCAATCGATGATGAAGGGATGACAATGTACCAGAGGCCATTTATGCGGGGTAAAATGTATATTCATTTCACTGTAGAGTTCCCGGACTCTTTGAGCCCCGACCAGGTGAAGGCTTTGGAAGGAATCCTTCCTCCAAAGCCACAATCACAGTTGACTGACATGGAGCTAGATGAGTGTGAGGAGACAACATTGCATGATGTCAACATTGAGGAGGAGATGAGGAGGAAGCAAGCTGCTCAGCAAGAGGCTTACGAGGAAGATGATGACATGCATGGTGGTGGAGCTCAGAGAGTGCAATGTGCTCAACAGTGATCCCTTGAAGATTTTTAGGACGAGATGATTTTCTACTTTCTCAAATGCCATGAGCTTATAAGAGTTGCTGTTCATGTATTTGCTTTGGCAGATTAATCTAGTTTTGTCTGCAGTTGTTGATCTTGAAGGAGAGAATTTACTTGGCACAATTTGCTCCTCTTGCTTTCTTTTTTTTCCCCTTTTTCTTGGGGAGAAACAATTGGGCTTTTGGCAGAAAAGATCAGTAGTAGCAGTTCCCCTGGTCTAGAAAAGTACTATGTTTTTGCACACTGATTTTACAAAATCTGTCTACTGACGAAAGAAACTGAACTGTTATTGGTGCAAGATTTCCTTTACTAAATGTGTTGATCTAACCTTTGAGAAAAGGGTGTTGAAATATCATGGAATATCTCCTGAATTCATTACATCATTAACATTAATGGTAGACCAGCACAATTCCATTAACTGCAGATGAGCAAGCCCTGTTTTATATTGGTGTGGAAGGCAGGCAGATAAGACGGAGGAGAAAAGGGTGTTGAAATATCATGGAATATCTCCTGAATTCATTACATCATTAACATTAATGGTAGACCAGCACAATTCCATTAACTGCAGATGAGCAAGCCCTGTTTTATATTGGTGTGGAAGGCAGGCAGATAAGACGGAGGAGAAAAGTGCAAAAGAAAAGTAATTGACTTCTTTCTTATTGCAATTAAAAAGAAAGAAATGGAAAGAAAAACGAAGGAAAAAGAGAGAAGTCAAAACAAAAATTGCTATAAAGTGTGGTTTACGGGAAACAATAACAGTGATGATGACCGCTGATTGCTTTACAAGCTCACTCATCAAAAAAGAAGTTTTGGCTGGGGCTACTTTGTGGTAAGATATCGTAGTAGTATCTGCGAAGAGCACTTGGATGGTTTATTTACAGATTCAATACACAATCTTGCTACGGCTAAAAGGCTTCTAAGCTCCCTGGAATTATAACTGTTTCCAAGGTCTGGATCTATCATCATACTGATGGATGTTGGAAGGCGAGATTCTTGAACCCATTGGACTAAGTCAACTCCTCCATTATCTGAGGACTGACCAGTGATTAGCTCAAGGATCAGCAAGCCAAGCTGAAAGATTGAGTCATTGCAACTCTTATCGCAACGTTCTGCAAGATAAGCAGAAGAGCACTCACTAAGACCACTGGTATGGATTATGTGACGTGAAAGACAAGGTCATACCTCTTTCTGAAGTGTTTGGCAGTGTTTTGTGACTTCCCGCAGAAGACGGAAGGCCAACATCACAAAGCTGTAGAAAAAAAATTTACTGGTATGTATGAGCTTTTGACATTGAAGAATGCAGGTAGTTAGAACTGACATGTTGCAAAATTAATGCCTTCTGGCAAAGACAGCAGCTTGATGACTGGTTTAATTTCCCCAATCTCTTTGATCAGGTCAGTCAGGTGATATGGAAATGTGAAAAGAAAAAAATCATCCACTGATGTGCTTAGATTCCCATGTTGAGAAAAAGTAACCTGTACCTTGGGACTGAAATTGTCATCCAACATGACTGTACTTGAATTGATGGAAACATGGTATATTGGTGGATCACAGAAGAAATGCAGATATTCCTATAAAAAAAAAAACAAGAGCAAAAGATGCTGTTATGAGTTGATCACAACCGTGCAAGTGAATTCATTTCTACTAAAGATTGATTAATTGTAAAACTATGGAGAATTTATTGTAGAACAGGTGCTGCTTCATTGGGAGGTACTTCCAAAAAAAAAAAAAAAACTCAAGCTGACTCAATACAGTTGATTTCCCTGTTCATTTTTCCTGTGCTTATGTTAGTGATCTGTATTTTGTGCTATAATTTTAATTAATCATCGGTTAGTCTTAGGATACAGTTGGAGAGCCCATGGTATTTCTAGCTTTAGCGTGCATGACATGCATACAGGTAACTGGTAAGAAAATGATCATATACCAGGTACAATTCCTATCAAATTGTGAACAGATGCTAGGCTGATAAGCAGACTACATGATGATAGTGACTTGATTTTGTCAGAACACGAGTAAGAAGTGCATCGATTTAATCATATTAAATGCTAATAAGTCCTCAGTTATAATAAGCACAGCTCAAAACATTTTGGATTCTCTAATGCATTACCTATGTATGTCAGAGTATAATTCTGTTGTTTTTTTCAGAGCAGTATAAAATAGAAACAGGTGAAAGAGGATATGGTTATATCATCCTGATAAGCCACACAGAAAAAGCCAACTTCAGAACTCACCAGTGCAGAAGCAATACCAATGGCTATTTGAAGCCGTGTTCTCCAATTCAATGGAGTCTTGAGAGGATCTACATGAAGGAAAGTGCTAAATTAGGAACTACATAACAAATCTCCTGAGACACAAGTAGGTTCTGCTACTCTGCAGGAAATTACCTGAAAGATAATCCTTCAGGCTTCCTTTCTCCAAATGTTCATACACCAAAAACCTAAAATGCACAAGTAACAACTATTTTCAGTTGTCAAGACAGTTGCAAGTCTGGTAGTAATCTTATAGTACAAAGTTAGTAGTGTTGTGATAGCAGAATATTTGCATAATTCTCGTGCAAAGATGAAAAATCTGCTTCTAGGAGATACATAGACAAACACCAAGCAAGTCAATATTCTTTAGATTGAAACTGCTTTCTTTTTTGATTGCTATAGCTATGAGAATATATCTTAGACATGCCATTATGGATAAGTCTTATTCCACATATGTTTTTTTATCTATAAAACCCCCGATAAACATATCAACAATCGTAACAAGGATTCTTGTGGGATATCTGCAAATTTAACTTTTTTTTTTTTTTTTTTTAGATAGTGATTAACTATCTGGCTTGAAGAAATTAGGTTGTTTATGCGACCTCGTTTGTAATGTTAGCATAAAAAAAAGGCCATTTCTATGAATGATAGAGTGGACATCTGTTGAAATAATTATCAATTTGACTGGTTGCAGTTAAGGTGAGATTTCTTGATTCAATCACACTTACAAATTGCTGCACCATAAAATATGCAGTTTTAAGGTGACCAGATTTTGCAAGTACCAATTAATAAAGTGAAGTAGACATAATTATGATCAAGTCAATAGGGTTCTAGAGACAGAATAGGGAAGTGGCAGGAGATAGAGATATTAACTCAACAAGGGAATGATAGGTAGCCAGCAACACATTGCAAAAGTTATCCAGGATAGCTTGTGAAGGCAGAACAGCAACACTATGTTTTGAAAAGTGCCAAAATTCATGAGCCCCGACCATTTGAATCCCTAACCACCTATAGCTATCCCATAATGGGAGAGAAAAACAAGAAGAATCATGCCACACATGGACAGAGTGCAGATGAAAGTTTAACTTCTATTCTGGATATTCACCCATAATTGTCTCAAAATCACAAATAAGAATCCAATAAAATGGTTAAATCGAAAGGGAACATGTATCTAGAGTAGCTTCTTTCAATATAAGTGATAACAAAATAATTAATGGTCAGGAGTGCTAGATTTTTTTTAATATATAAATTATGTCCCTTACATTTATAAGACTCAAATATGAGGACAATTAAGCAGATTATTGTCAACTCCGCTAATAATACAAGTTACAGAACATAATTGCATTGTTCTGCATTCACACATACAGCGAAGACTTACACCAAACTTTTTAGATGATAATTGCCACTCTATGACTCTATTTTAAGCAGAACAAGTTATGTTTCTCCATTAGAAGACCTTAAATGGTTCAAAATCGAAATTTGCTGATTGGCCCCCTGATTACCGAGTTATTTGGCCCAATTTCATGTTGTTAGGAAGCCTCACAACCAAGGTAAATGTTGAAAAAGGCAATATTGACTAAGAACAATGATAAGAATGACAGTAAAAACAAAATTAAGGCAGAGGTCTTGATTGCAGCATCTGTACTGTTTATACTGCAGTAACCAGAGACATGAAACTCATCCTATGTCAGAAATATGCACATTCCTCTATGAATGAAAAACTATTGCATCCCATCAACTCAAAAAACAGGATAAGACGAATAAATCAGAACAAAGCAAGCCATTAAAACCTCTTATTTCCAGCGGAATATCCACTTAGTGAAGCAATGTGACGATGATGCAGGCGGCTGAGGAGTTGCACTTTTCTACAGAACGCATCATCATCAAGATTATCAAACATTCTAATTTCTTTAACCACAGCAATATGTCCATTGTGGAACTTAGCTCTATAAGTAGTTCCATTGATAGAGCTATCTTGGATCCTCTTGAATCCGTCAGTTGCCTTCTTTAAGTCCTTGTGGGAGAAGCACTTAACAAAATATACTGAAGCCGAAAAATCAGAAAAAGAATTTATTTCAGCAGAGAGATAAATCACAAAAATCAGTAAGACATCAAGATGAATACAAAATGGACCAACCACATTATGCCATACTGCATAAATTATTAAAATCAAAACCACCTTTCCCCGTGTTGCCAAATATGCTGTTATTATACCTGTATACTACTAGCTTTTTGAGACTCCACATTTGCGTATCAATGCTTGGCATTACAATATGAAGTATTCAACATTGCTTCCTAAGAAAGTTATAATTCTTTAACTTGTTCGTTTTGTAGTAACCTAACATGATCCGTAATTTTAAACCAACCTCATTACTAACTGAATAGCTTGCCATAGGACTACCGTCCAAAACCACAGAAAATTTAACAAAATTAATTAGTTGACTAAGTTCAATTGCCACTGTAAGTTTCATAACAGCATATTTGACATTGTCCTTCCATTTTTTTCGAAGACTATCATTTTCCTCATCTCATGATATACCAAAAAAGAAATGCATTTCAAGAATCCAAAATCAAGACCATTAGAATTCTGCATTGCACAAAGAAAAAAAAAAAAGACGCACACACACACACACAGACACTCTCACGCTATCAAATTAACCCAATCAAACGTATACAAGCACACAAGTTATTGAAAAACTACCAATGATTGCAATTCAGAGGCCTATAATTCAAGGAACTTACAGTCAAAAGCAATGGGAACTAATAAATGCTAGAGTAACAAAAATTAAGATCAAGAAAGAAAGGGCCCTATTGAATTCAGTTAATTCTGGAGCTCGGAGCTTACTTGGTCGAGATTTGAGATGAAACCAGGCAAGGAGGAGGAGTCTGAGCTTGAGAATTTCAGAGCCCATTTGTCAGCCTAAAATTTTTTTTTACCTTTCTGTTTTTGCCAACACCTGTAGCAATAAAGGTGTACAACACAAAAAATTGGGAATAACTGTACATAGAGGAAAGGTGGCTGTGGTGATGGGCAGTGAAGATGAAGGTAAGAAAAGTCATTGAAAGAAAATTCATCTT